CTCCGCCTCCTCCTCCTCCTCCTCCTCCTCCTCCTCCTCCTCCTCCTCCTCCTCCTCCTCCTCCTCCTCCTCCCCCTGGCGCGCCGCCGACTTTTGGGCAGTCGCGAGCTGGTCGGAGGGTCCTCGCGGGCCGTCGTCGACTTTCAGAAGTCCGAAGAATGCGAGAACGCGAATTCATTCCAATATTGGAATCGATCATGTTTGCCTCTTGAGGCCTTCTGATGGATCCTCGTAGAGCCCTCTTGGGGCGTCATGGGGGCCTCCTTGGGTCGTCTGGAGGACATCGTTGTGTGATCCCTCTGGCGTGCTGGAGCCCTCCTTGAGCCATCCTGGAGGGCATCGTGTACATCTTGGGGGCCTCGGGCGCTGGCTTTGAAGGCTCCAGGGGCGGTGGAGGTTCGTTGGCGAGCTTGTCCCCTGCTCTCAGATAGCGTCGGAGGTTGGTAGGCCTCCTACCCTGACACGTCGATTAGCGAATTGGCCGTTTTCGGTTCGCGAGAGGGCGTCGCGGCCGTCATTTTTGCGGGTCCAGGTCCGTCGGTTTCGGTTTTAGGCCGTTGTCACGAAAGGGTGGTTTACTAGAGGGAGGTTTGTCCAACGCCGATAGCGACGCCAGAAAACAGAGTCGTCTTCGCCGACAGCGGCGCGCAAGGTCGCGCGCGAGCGCCCTCGCTTCCGGCGCAGCGTGCCGCGCCGGCGGCCCGCGTAAGCTGCCGCGCAAGGTCGCTACTCAGGAGGGGAAAAAACACACAGACACAATTATTCGTCGACTCCCCGAAAATATGCGAAAATATGGAAAGTGGGGGGGAGGACAGAAACCCAGAACATATAGGAAAATATGGGGAATATTTTTATTTGTGTGTATTTGTGTGTGTGTGTCCCAGAGCCCCTTCAGCTACGCCATCTCACGTAAGACCTTTTTCTTTTTGTCGCTCAGATGTTGGACCGCGGGGGCGGGGAAGCTGCAGAGGAGAACAGCCAACCATCTCACACGCCTCCTCTCTCCCCCAGCACGCGGGGGTCGGTCCATATCCCGCGCGCATCACGCCGACGCCACCTCCCCCGGGCTCCCCCTGGCGAACTCCCAGAAGCAGGCCCTGCGTGCAAAAGTCGCCCCTCCCCCGCCCCGTCGGGACAGGTGGAGCAAAGCGCCCCCCCCCCCCCCCCCGGGACAGGGGGAGAACGCTGCGCATGCCCCTGCAAGGGTCACCAGGGCCTCGGTGTCGGTGTGCAGTTCTGTGTTGGGGCGTCGAATTTTCTTTGCTTTCGCTGCCCTGATACACGCCCGTTATGAAACGCAACGCGTGCCGTGTTCAAGACGTCCGTGTTGACACGTTGCGAGTTGGTTCACCGTGTTTGCCCACGTTTTGGCGAACGTATCGCGCAACACTATGTGTTCGATCTGCGACGTAGATTCTACGTGTTAAGTTTCATGTCAACGCGTCACGGGTTGCGTGTTACGTTTCAGGGCAGCTAAGTTCTCCGCAGTCCAGCACAGCCATATCCTTACTCGTTGACTAGTCGAGGCGTGTCTGGCGCCAGGGCTCGGAATGCGGCCGCGCCCAACGCCGCCACTGCACTGTAAGAGCCTTCCTGAACGAGACACGCATGCTAACCTTGCGTTGGGATGTTCGGAACCTGCTTTCAAGAGCGACTAGTCTTTACTAGGCGAATATCCTTTCTTATGCTACTCCAGATAATCGAGGACGTTATTCCCCAAGCAGAGCTTGCCTCTGTAGGGGTCATAGCGGATTAAAGGTTCAGGTGAGGTGGGTCGCCGATTTCGGTGGCCGGGCCCAGGTGCCCGGGTGCCCGGGGTGCCCGGCGGTGCGGGTGCCCGGGTGACCGGTGAGGTGCGTGGCCGATTTCGGTGGCCGGGCCCGGGTGCCCAGGTGCCCGGGTGCCCGGGGTGCCCAATAGTCCAATAGCATATAGCCCAATAGCTGTATAGCCCTATAGTTTTTTAGCCCTATAGTCCGACAGCCCGATAGCCTGATAGCCCCATAGCCTTATAGCCCTATAGCCCTATATCTCCACAGCCTTATAGCCCTATAGCCTTATAGCCCAATAGCCCTATAACCCTATAACTTTATAGTTTTATAGCCCTACAGCCCCATAGCCCCAACAAAAATCGGATTGGGTTTTTTCTCCGGTGTCATGTAGTACTGGTGCCCTCCTCTTTGCGGAAGTGGAGTAGCAGAAGCAGCAGCAGGAGGAGGAGGAGGTGTCCCCTCGCGTTCCCTGGAGGGCCTCGGAGGCCTCCGAGGAGCCCCGACACTGCCCCCGACCCCCAAGGAAAGCACCCAGCAGCCGCCCTCCCCTGTCGCACCCGAGAGAGGCGCAGGAGATGAGCCGGTCCTGCGCATCGCTCCGCACGTGGCCGCACGGGCGGGATGCTGCTCCAGAGGCCCTCGCGAGACGCCCGCCCCCGGCCCCCCCCCTCCCTCCTCCCTCCTCCCTCCTCCCTCCTTCTGGCCACGGACGGCCCTCCGGTCGGAGTCCGCCAGCTTCCCCGCTCAGTGCCCCCTCGGGATCTCCCCTGCGCTCGTGCCCGCGGGCGATATGCCTGCGCGTCTCGAGCCCGCGGTGGTTGCCGGCGCGCGGGGCGCAGGCCGTCGCCCTCCTCGACCGGAGAGAGGGCGGTCTTCGAACCGCACATCCGCGCGTGGCCGCGCAGGCGTGCTCCTGCCCGAGGCGCCCTGCAGGCCGCCCCGAGTCCGAGGGCCCTCGCCTCAAGTCGGGCCTGTCCCTGCACAGGAGGAGTAGTCAAAGATTGCCAACAGATAGTGCGGGGTCGATTTGTTTTTTTGTTTCTGCAGTATCTCGTATGGAGCATTCTGGGGGTATGTTTTATCTCTCGGCCAGAATCCGCCTGCAGGGACATGCCCGACCTGACCCGAGTCCGAGGCCCTCGCCGGCGAGGGCCTCGGATGGCCGATGCCGGGCCGCCGGGCGCCGGGGCCGCCGGCCCAGGGCTGGACGAGGCGACGAGGAGGGAGAAGCTGGCGCAGGCCGTCGCCACGAAGCGGGTCGGGCGAAAGCCGGCCGGTCGGCTCGGGGGCCTCGTTGCCGTCGGTTCTCAGCGGCCGTCCAGCCTCGGGATGCCCTCCAGCGGTTGCGCCTCGCCGGGAGCGTCCCCAGGCTGCCCGGATCGTCCCGAGCGGCCGCCGGAGGCCCGCGGCCAGGTTCTCCCTGGAGTCCCGGCCAGAGTGCTCCCCGGGAGAGGCCTGGGGAGGCGGCATGTTTATTCTTCTCGCCCCCCCAGAAGGGGGTGTGCTAGGGGAAGCAAAAGTGGCATAAACATAAAAACTCGGAGGGCCGCGCGGATTTCTCGGATCGGCGCTGGATCCCCCTCCCTGGCGCGCGGAGCGCGCCAGGGGCGGCGCCGGAGGCGCCGCCGGGGGCCCCCAGCGCCGATCCGAGAAATCCGCGCGGACCTGCGAGTTGTTATGTTTATGTCACTTGTTTTCCCCTAAAAATAATAATACTAATAATAATAATAATAACAATAATAATAATAATAATAATAATAATAATACGAATAATAATAATAGTAATAATAATAATAATAATGATGATGATGATGATAATAAGAATAATAATAATAACAATAATAATAATAATAATGATAATGATAATGATAACAATAATAATACTAATAATAATAATAATAAAGATAATAATAATAAGAAGAAGAAGAAGAGATGTTGTTCCCCTAGAGGAACGAACAATGACATAAACACACAAACTCGGAGGTCCGCACGGATCCCTCGGATCCGCGCCGGGCCCGCCCGGCGGCGCCCCTTGGCGCGCTCCGCGCGCCAGGGAGGGGGGTCCAGCGCCGAGGCGAGAAGTCCGCGCGGACCTCCGAGTTTGTGTGTTGGTGTCTCGGGGGTGGGCAGAACCCCCAACTGTGACACGTCGATTCGTGAATTTGTCCTTTTTCGGTTCTCGAGAGGGCGCCGCGGCCGTAATTTTCCAGGCTCGCGCCCGCCAGGTTTGGGCCTCAGGTCGTTTTCACTCAGCCACGTTTTACTAAAGGGAGGTCTGTCCACCCCCGAATGTCATTCTTCGTTCCCCCAGTGTTGGTACCTTCTCGCTCCCCCAGAAGGGGGTGTGCGTGTACGCCGGTTTGGCTGCCCCCCGTGAGACTTCCGCGCAGCGTGGCCCCCCGTGGGTGAGTCCTGTGCGTCCCTCGGGCCGAACGACAGGGGGGGGGGGGCAGGGAAAGGGGGAAGGGAAAAATCTGCTGCATGCAGCTGGTTTCGGCCCCGCCGCTGGGCCCATCCCTCGATACCGCCTCCCGGCGCTGGGAGGCGCGGGGAAAATCAGCTACGCGAGCTGATTCTCAAAACCCTTACGCCCAGCCCGAGTCCTGTGCGTCCCCGCTGGGCCGCCCGAGTGCCCGGCCGGCCAACAACGCTCTGCTGCGTTCGGGCGCTCTTTCGACCGCTCTGCCTGACTCCGCCGCGCCGCTGCGCGCGTGGCCGCGACGCCAAAGATGAAGTCGGGCCTGTCCCTCTACAGGAGGAACATTCAAAGTAGTCAACAAAAAATACTCTGGGGACGATTTGTTGACTATTCTTGTTTTTGTTCATCTGTTTTGGTTTATTTTTCATGTTCGTTCAAAAATCCGCCTGTAGGAGGACATGCCCGAACTGAGCCAAAGATCAGAGCACGATTGTTGCCAGGCGCTTTCAGCTGCAGTCAGACTGGGTCGCGTCATTTTCATGATGGCCCCGTCGGGCCAACCCGAGTCCCCCGAACCCGGGTCTTACGTCTCCCCGAGAAGAGTGTGTGTACGCCTCACCTTGGGATCTTCAGACCTTGCCACGCTGCCTCACAAAGGGGGCTAGTTGTCTTGCCATTGTCCGTGCTCGAAAGTACCACTGGCTGGACCTCACGAGTGCGTCGGAGAAAAAGGAGGGGGTACGAGGTCTGATGCCTGCAGCCGGTTTTGTCCCAGCAGCCATGCTCTTTCCTGGATGCATGGCCGCTTCCGGCGCCGGGAAAAGCAAATACATGCAGTTTATTCGATAACAATTTCCATCCGCCACAGCAGTCTCCCACACCCTCTGGTAGGGAAACGAGCCATGACATCGGCACAAAAACTCGGAGGTCCGCGCGAACCTCCGAGTTTTTATGTGTATGGCATGGTTTGTTCCCCTAGGTTTATGTTGGGCGTGTCCCCCTGCGGGGCTTTTCGACGAAAAATAAGAAATACCCCAAAAATACACAAACATACCCCAAGATGAGGGCCCCTCCCCCCGTCAGGGGGGTCTGGCTAGCCCTGTTGGGGTGGCGCGCTCGCACCGCCGGCTTCGAGGGGTGCAGGAGCCCGCAATGGTCAAAAACTATTCAAAAAATAGTCCCCAGACTATTTTTTTACTATGTTTGGGGTATCTTTTATTTTTCGTCGAAAATCCCCCTGTAGGGGGACAGGCCCGACATATCCCTATGTGGTGGCTTTCCCCGGATGACGGAGCCGAGGCTCGAGGTCTTCCTGGCAGGGAGCAGTTTTGCTCTTGCGGCCTCCAGGGGGGGCCTCGCGTCGCCTCGGCGGAATCCGCCTCGAGATGATGCCCCCCTCCTCCCCCTCCTCCATCTCTCCTCCTCCATCTCCTCCTCCTCCTCCTCCTCCTCCTCCTCCTCATCCTCTCCTCATCCTCCTCCTCCCTCCTCCATCTCCTCCTCCTCCTCCTCCTCCTCCTCCTCCTCCTCCTCCTCCTCCTCCTCTCTCCGCCTCCTCCTCCTCCTCCTCCTCCTCCTCCTCCTCCTCCTCCTCCTCCCCCCTCCTCCTCCTCCTCCTCCTCCTCCTCCCCTCCTCCTCCTCCTCCTCCTCCTCCTCCTCCTCCTCCTCCTCCTCCTGGGAAAGGGACTCTTGAGACGGGCGATGCCGATTCCTCTCGAGTCCGCTCGGCTTCGCCCACAAGGTTGCCGCAGTGCGATGTTTCACTCGCACGCGCCGAAGTCTCAGAGTCAACGCCGCGGTCTCAGAAGTCCCTCTCGCGGGCGTCCGTTTCGGAAGCGCATCGCTGCACCGCCGCACCTCTGCGGGGGACCTCGGCTCCCGGGCCCCTCGCCACGAAGGAAAAGGGGGCGGCCCTGGAGGCGAGGGGCCCCCCAGAGGCCTCTCGAGGGTGTCGGGCCCGCCGGTTTCCTTCCTGGGCCCCTGGGGCCGTCCGAGGACGGCTTGGGAGGGAGGAGGAGGAGGAGGAGGAGGAGGAGGAGGAGGAGGAGGAGGAGCCGGTCCCTGGGAGATCCCCAGGCTCAGGTGAGTCGCGTGTGCGAGAGTCTCTTTTCGACGGCGAGCGAGGAGGGGAGTGAGAAGGAGAAGGTCTTCTCAGAAGGCGGTGGCGGGACTTCTCAGAAGCCATCGCGCCTTCTGAGAAGCTATCTGTGTCTTCGGGAAGGCTTGGAGCACTTCTCAGAAAGCCGGGGGACTTCCGAGCCTGTGAGAAGGCCCGCCCCTTCTCACTTTTCCCCCTCGCTCGCCGCCGAATTTTAGGCATGAGTTCTTCTCTGCCACGGCTACTGACGTTTCTTTTATCGCTTCGGTCATTCCGCCAGCCCATATTGTCGCAGTAGCGGACGATGAGAGAAGGAGGACGCTTGTCGGTGGTTTCTTGGGGAACTCTTCAGACGAAACTGGGTCGTCGACAAGACAGGTCTTTGGGACACGTCGTGGGGTTTCTTGGGAGGCCGCTTGGGAGCCTCTTCGTGGCTTCTTGGGCTAGTATTTTGGAGTTTGGGGAGCTTCTTAGGGGCCCTGCGGGCGGTCTCGTGAGGGATCTCGTGGGAGAGGGCCCAGCTCGGAGTTTTGCCGCTCCTGGGGTCTTCTGAGAGCCTCTGGAGCCGTCTGAAGAGGCCTTTTGGGTCGTCTTTCAGCGCTCTGGGGCCGTTTGGAGCTCATCTTGGGGGCATGTTGGGCCGTGTTGGGACTATTGGCGCTTCTGCGCAAAATGTTCGCTGTCCTAAGGAAGTTTGATGATTTGTGCTTCTTGGGGCCCTCTTGGGGGGGCCTCTTGAGGCTCTCTCGGGGCTTCTTGGCAGCCCGTAGGGCTGTCTGGAGCCCATCTTGGGCGTTTTGAAACGATCTTTCGGCGACTCGGGGCCGCTTGGACCGTCTGGGGGGCGTCTGGGGCGCTCTCGGGGACCTTGCGGGGATCTTGCCAGCAGTCTCCCGGGTTTCGGCTGGGGTACTGGTCGTCCCGGGACTCCCAGGGGCCGCCACGCGCGCGCGAGCTAGAAATTGTAAACGTGTAGCCGGAGATCTCAGCATGCCCATGGCCCGTTGGGCCAGCGAATTTCCGCTTAGCAGTGGTCGCTAATCGGCGTAAATAAAAACTAATCGGCGCCATTGGGCGCAGATAGGCGGAAATAAGCGCTAATGGGTACATTGATTCCCGGATAGCTCCTTGGAGAGCTAAAAGGGTTTCAGGTGAATCCGGCAGGCAAGGGTATGCCAGCTTCCTCTTCTGGATGCCGCTCAGGCAGTGCTGCAGCGCCTTGCTGGAGATTGTAACGTGTCCTGGAAGCGTTTCCTACTCGTTCCCAATGCTGCGTGTGCCGCAAGAGTTTGCGCAGCTCCTTCGTAGCGTTTCCTGGCCTCCTGTGCAGCTCCCATGCTCAAGCTTGCAAGCTTCTCAGGCATCCGTTCAACCATCCTTGTCTCCCACAGGCTTTTGGTTGGCATCTTGGATGGGCGTCTCGGATGTCTCCCGGCTGCTTCGCTATCTGGGTTTCGAACGACACAGGTAGACACTCACAGGCGATCCTTGGGCGGAACTTGTTTCTTTGATCGTTCTCAAGCATAATACACACAGTCAGGGCCCAGGACCCCCCTTCACCACGGCCCGTTCCCAGAATGCCCCGCAGGTCCAGGCAGCGCTGAAAGGCATCAACGAGCGAATCCAGGGCCAGCGCGGCTTCTCCGGAGGCAAGCGGGCACGGGGCGCCGGCAGCAGCGCGGCGGCTTCCGGCGGGGACGCCGGCAGTCGGGCGGCCGACGCTCCCAGCGCGAAGGGAAAGCGGCCGAGGTCGCCCTCCAGCAGCAGCAGCAGCGACGAGGTCACCATCACGTCCACGGCCAACACGGAGGTGATCATCACGCAGGCGTCGGTGCGCGGCCGCGTCGTGGTGGTTCCCAGTGGTGTCCTGGCCTGGTCATGTGTGCTCTCTCTGCTCCAGTGCTGCAGTACTCGGCGAGCGCGTTCCACTACTTGCAAAGTGCCTACTCGCAAGCGTCCGAAAAACACGGGTTTGCCCCGATGTATTGGATCGTAGATCCCGCGTGGCGGATCCATACCATTTGCGAGTAGTTACTTTGCGAGTAGTGGAATGCGCTTGTCTAAATGCGTGGACGCGTGCCTTGCTGGTCCCCCCCTCCGTTTTCGAGCCCTCTCAGCCTCGCGTCGCACCGAATGAGATTGCGTTCCATGTGACCTGGTATCGCTCGGACATGTGCATTTCTCCTCGGCGAGCACCATCGAGGAGCATCGTGGATCATTCAGGGAAAACCCACGAAACCGAAACATGCACGGGGAATGCACGTCGGAGCAATGGCAAGGTGAGAGTGCCGAATTCGTGGACAAGAGGCCCAACCCACAGCCGTGCTGGGGGCGTGGACAAGAGGCACTCTGAGAGGCCCCCTAGGGTCTACTGCAAGGCCTCTTTGGGGGTGCCTGGAGGCCTCCTCCTCCTCCTCCTCCTCCTCCTCCTCTTCCTCCTCCTCCTCCTCCTCCATCCCATCTTCTCCTCCTCCTCCTCCTCCTCCTCCTCCTCCTTCTCCTCCTCCTCCTCCATCTCCCTCCTCCTCCTTCCCCTCCTCCTCCTCCTCCTCCTCCTCCTCCTCCTCCTCCTCCTCCTCCTCACCTCCTCCTCCTCCTTCCTCCTCCTCTCCTCCTCCTCCTACTCCTCACCCCTCCTCCTCCTCTCTCCTCCTCCTCCTCCTCCTCCTCCCTCCTCCTCCTCTCCTCCCCTCCGCCTCCTCCTCCTCCTGCTTAGCCTCCTCCTCCTCCTCCTCCTCCTCCTCCTCCTCCTCCTCCTCCTCCTCCTCCTCCTCCTCCTCCTCCTCCTCCTCCTCCCATGCAGCATTTCACATTGTTTCACACGCGTGTACTGTAGCAGGCGCCTCGGCGCCCACTCCGCCGCGCCCTCATGGCCCCACGCGCGCGAAGCCGTAGCCGTAGCCGTGAAGGCCTCTCGGAGGTCGCTTTGAGGCCTCTGGGGGGCCTGCTGGGTGCCTCTGTGTGGTCCTCTTGGGGGCTCGGTGCCGGTCTCGGGGGCCAGGGCGGAAGGCCGCTGGCGCCCCTTCGGGTTCCCCTCTCAAGCCCCTCTTGAGCCCCTTGTGAGGGCCTCTGGGGGGCCTCTTGGGCCTCTATTGGGGGCATTGGGGTCCTCTTGAGCGGGTCTTGGCCGGCTTCGACGCTCGTCAGACCGGGAAGCCGAGCATGTTAACATCCCTAGCTAACACTGTCGTAGTCGGGTCTCATTGCATTCTTTAAGAATGGGTTACCAGGCCGGTGGTTGGAGCTGGGTTCTTGATGCTACCAGAAATCCGCTCCCAGGATTGATGTTGATTATCCGGTAGCCCTTGAAGCCAGTCGTAACATCGAGTTGTCAGAATTCCGTTCCCAGGAGTGTTGCCAGAGCTTCATTGATGTTGACATTTTGGGAAGTCCACTCCCGGGACTGATTTTGAGCGTCCAGATCCACTTGTATGGCGTCTCGAGCTCTACGTGCCGCCAGACTTTTTCTCCTGGGATTGATCTTGAGTGCAGTGTACTACTTGTCCAGCGTTTCGTGCCCCTCGTATCGCCAGAACTCCACTCCGGGGAACATTCGGAGCGTTCGGAGCCAATTGTCTAACGTTTAGTGCTCCGTCGTGCTGCCAGAACTCCACTACTGCCCCAGCTCCAGCCCCAGCTCCAGCTCAAGCCAGCTCCAGCTCCAGCTCAAGGCCAGGTCTAGCTCTGGCCCTGTTCCAGCTCCAGCCCAGCTCCAGCTACAGCCCAGCGCCAGCTCCAGACCCAGCTCCAGCCCAGCTCCAGCACGGGTTCACCCCCAGCTGCAGCTGCAGCCTCAGCTGAGCCCCAGGTCCAGCGCAAGCTCCATCTCCAGCCTAGCTCCAGCTTCACGTCCATGTCCAGCTCCAGCTCCACGCCAGGTTCACTTCCAGCCCAGCTCCTGCTCCAGCTCAACTCCCATGGCTTAGAACCTGAAACCACCCGAAATCCCGGCCTCGCAAACGCAGCGGATCCTTGATGTGAAATTGGCTTCGTTTGGCCTCCCTGGGCTCCCCGTTGGGAACATCCTGGTGGTCTAGAACGCGATGGTTTCGAGGACCTGGACTCGCGGTGGCCGAGGAGCTGAAACCATTTCGTCACATAGGGTCCTATGGCCTGGCGCTGAAACCGTGCACTTTTACATTGAATCTTATGGCCTGGGAGCTGAAGCCATGCGCTGTTACATAATAGCCTATCTCCTTGGAGCTTAAACCATCTGCTTCCACATATAAGATTATGATGTTGGAGCTGAAACCACTGGAAACAACTGTGCCTCGCAAAACTAGCATACATACTCACATACTCCTTAAGCGAAATTGGCGTTGTTTGACCTCCCGGGGTTTCACGTGGGGGTCAGAGTCACGAGGATTTGGACTCGCTGCGGTCTGGGAGCTGGAAGCATTTGTTTACGATGTGAACCGATGGCCTTGTACTGAAGCCATTTACTTACCGGAGGAACCTATGGCCCGAGATCGGAATGTGAACCGAAATCGAACTCGAGCTCGAGATCGAATCGGAGAGAGGAGGCAGGAGGGAGGACAGAGGAGACACGTCGACGCTGAAAGCTCACAATTTGTGTTCCGCCTGGGGTACTTGATTCATGATTTCGACCTCGCGGGCGGGTGTCCAGTGCCTCCAGGATGGCTCAGTAGGCCCCCAAGAGGGCCTCAGGACGGCCCCGTCATGTGACTCGGGGGCGGCAAAGAGGGGGGTGATAACTAGGGGGGGGGGGGATACCATGGCGGGGGCCGTGATATCTCCCCAGATTTCATGGCGCCTCGTTTCTTTCATTGCGTCCCTGGGTCCCCCGCTGGGCCGCGCGCATGCTGCCAGCCATGATTTGCGCCCCCCCCTCTTGGACGCCCCCCTCTTGGCCGCCCCCGATCTTAGAGCATGGTTGCAGGTTGGATCCCGAACCACGCTCTCGAGGCCTTAGGAAAAGCCGTGCGACATCATTCAAGGGTGCCCAAGCGACCGGAAGCGCCCAGGAATTCCGTGAGCTGTGTGTGGACGGCATTCAAGGACGGGGATCTGGATGGACAGCTACAGCATGGCAGCGGATGTGGTACGTAGACAGCATTGGTTGTTTATGGCGAAAGCGGTAAATCATGAGGGATTGAAGCGTTTGGTTGGATTGGTGGCCCCTGCAGTACAGTGTCGACCCCAGGTTGGAGGACCACTTCACCTCTCCCTTCCTCTCCTGGTCCTCTGCCATGGGTCCACTTCTGAACCGCCTGGGACTGAAATGTTCGAAGAGCGGCATCAGAGAAAGATGTGGCCTCGATCTCATGGGCCTCTTGGAGCGCCTGGCGTAGGCCATCCTGAGTGTGCTTAAGCTCGCTCTGAGGCCTTTTGAATCCACTTTCTTCTGTCCCCTCCTCTCCTCCCCTGCTCCTTCCTCCTCTTCCCCTCCTGCCCCCATATCCTCCCTCCTTCCCCTCCCCCCTCCTCCCTCGCCGCTCCTCGCTCCTAGTTCCTGGCCTGCCCGCCCTCTCTCCACAACTACTCAATATGAATACTACTCTCCCTCTTCCCCGGAGGACGGCTTGAAAGCGCTCGACCCCCCCCTCCCGCGTATTGTTTTTTACACACAGGTTTCCCCGGAGTTGGGTTTTCGCCTGCATTTTTTCCAAAATGCTGCTCTCGCTGCGGCGCCGGCCTCATTTTCGGGCCTCGCTCGTTCCGAATCGTGCTCCCGCTGCAGCGCTGACCTCATTTCCGCGCTTCCGCTCGTTTCGACTCGTGCTCCCGCTGCAGCGCTGGCGTCATTTCCCGTGCCATGCCACGGCATGCAATGCAATGCTAGGTTAATACTACGCTTTGCGGTGCTCTTCTACGCCATGCCATGCCGTGCTCTACAATGCATCGCGTACCCTTTTCGGGATCATTGCCCTGGTCGACATCCGATTGTGCGAGTAGAGAGGGGATCTGCGCCATGGTAAGAGATGGGAGGGAGGGGTAGGATGTCAGATATGACGCGAGCGCTCTAGCTTGCCTTCTCCCCCTCCCTCCCCACCCCCTTCCTCTCACCCTCCCCCCTCACCCCGTCGCTCTCTTCGCCTGCTTGTCCCCCCACCTCCTCCACCCCCACCCCCTTCCCCGATCCTCCCACGCGACGACGACGACGACGACGACGACGACGACGACGACGACGACGGCGGCGGCGGCGGCGGCGACAACGACGACGACGACGACGACGACGACGACGACGACGACGACGACGACGACGACGACGACGGCGGCGACGACGACGACGGCGACGACGGCGACGGCAGCGACGCGGAGGAAGAAGAGAGGAGGTAGGAGGAGGAGGAGGAGGAGGGGAGAGGAGGAGGAGATCGGGTAGGAGATGATGATGAGTATAGTAGGATGAAGGGGGGGTGTTGCAGGCAGGAGGAGGAGGAGGGTATGTGCCTGTGGGGCTGGGAACATCAGGAGGAGGGATAGGAGGAGGAGGAGGAAGGAAGGAGGAGGAGGGTATTTTTGTTTTGAGGAGAGTGAGTGTGTGTATCATTAGTGGTAGGTAGATCGTTCTCGCGCGCCCAGAGGTCAAGGGCGAGCGACGCGGGAGGAGAGAAAATAAGAATAGTGTGTTTGGTGCTGAGAGGGGGGAGGACGAGAGGTGGGACGAAAAAAAAAGTGCCCCAAACACACAAACAAACACGGCCGACCGCAGGCCCGGGACGCTGCCGACCGCGCCGCGGTCGGCGCGCACCGCAGGCAGCTGCACAAAAAAAATTCGCGGCCGCCAGGAGCTGCAGGCCCACGCCCTCCTTGCGATGAGCCTCCCTCCACCCGCCTCCTGCTCCCCCTCTCCTCCTCCTCACTCCTCTACTAACTCCTCCTCCTCCCTCCGCCTCCTCCTCCTCCTCTCCTCCCCTCCTCCTCCTCCTCCTCCTCCTCCTCTTCCTTTCCCTCCTCCCTACTCCTGCTCCTCCTCCTCCTCCTCCTCCTCCTCCTCCTCCTCTTCCTCCTCCTCCTCCTCCTCTTCCTCCTCCTCCGCCTCCTCTGCTTCTTTGTTCGAGCTGCGGACCTGAGGTCTCCACAGAGCTGTGGCCCTCGCCCCTGCTCTACCTCCTCGTCCCAGCCGCAGAGCGTCGCCAGGGGACGGGGGGCGGGGGCTCTCAACGTGGGCAACACCACAGCCAAAAAGGGGGGGACCCCTGAGGACAGGGAGACCGACGGAAGGGCGACACGAGGAGGAGCAGCAGGAGGAAACGTGAGAAATGGAGGAGAGGGGAGGAGGAGCAGCGAGAGAGGAGAGGAGGAGGCAGTGGGAACAGCAGGGAAGACGGAGGAGGGCGGGAGAGGGGAGGGAGAGGGTCCCCAACACAGCCGACGCAACCCGACAGTTAGGTGAATAATCTGGTAGTGGAAATCCTGACCGAGAGGTGCATGGGTTAGTGGTGGTTGGGGCGTGGATCGCTCTACCCGCCGTCCGAAACGACGGCCCTGACATCCCCGCTAGGGCCGCGCGCGCTCACGAACGGAGGCGCTCGCCCGTGACATCGACCATGCCCTGGGCTGCTGGAGCGCTGGCGCTCGGTGAGACGCACTGCTGGTGCCAGCGCCGCGGGTTCTAGAGCACACGCTGTGCGCTGCTGGAGCCACTGCCCATCCGAAAAAACGGGTGCCGGAACCCGTCTGTTTTGTAGGCATGAGCGGCTGGAACCATTGTCCCTCGTAAAAAAATGGTGCTGGAACCGGCGCCGTGGGCTGCTGGAACCGCCTTCCCTCGTAGAACAGTTCGTGGTGGGACCCACCTGTCTTGTAGGCATGGGCTGCTGGAACCACTGTCCCTCGTTAGAATTGAGTGCTGGAACCGACACCGCGGACTGCTGCAATCGCCTTTCCTAGTAGAAAGTGGGGTGCTGGAGCCCATCTGTACTGTAGGCATGAGCTGCTGGAACCACTGTCCCTCGTAAAAATTTGGTGCTGGAACCGACACCGCGGACTGCTGCAATCGCCTTTCCTAGTAGAAAGTGGGGTGTTGGAGCCCATCTGTATTGTAGGCATGAGCTGCTGGAACCACTGTCCCTCGTAAAAATTGGGTGCTGGAACCGACACCGCGGGCTGCTGCAATCGCCTTCCCTGGTAGAAAGTGGGGTGCTGGAGCCCATCTGTATTGTAGGCATGAGCTGCTGGAACCACTGTCCCTCGTAAAAATTGGGTGCTGGAACCGACGCCGTGGGCTGCTGGAACCACCATGCCTTGTAAAAATTGTGTGGTGGAACCGATGTGTCTTGCAGGCACGAGTTGCTGGAACCGCTTTCCCTTATAACAATTGCGCGCTGGAAACACACCCCGGCTAGGGTTATAAGCATATACGCAGGGCGGGGAGAGGGGTGGACAGGCCCGAGGGCGGGAGCCCTAGCATTGTAGTTACGCCTCGCCCCCATGAGGGCAGTCTGCGCGCGCTCGTGCGCGTGCGGTTGGTGGGGCGGTCGGTCGGTCTGGTCGTCGGCGTCGGTCGAACGGTCGGTCCGTCGGTCGTCGTCGGTCGTCGTCGTCTTCGTCGGTCAGTCGGTCGTCGTCGGTCGTCGTCGTCTCGGTCGGTCGAACGGTCGGTCGTCGTCGGTCGGACGGTCGGTCGGGAGTGCAGAGACCAGTTGCAGTATGAAGAACCCCCAGCGTGCGATGTCCTCCTCGTGCTCGGTGTCCTCCTCCACGCCCTCCTCCGCGTGCACGGCATCCTCTTCTCTGCCCTTCACCTTGTCCTTCCCGGCCCGGTCGGCGGACTAGTCCTCCACCGCGCCCTCCTTCTCCTCCTCGAAATCTTTGTGCTCGATGTCCTCCTCCGCGCCCTCCTCCACGTGCCTCCGCGTGCTCGGTGTTCTCCCCCTCATCGCCCTCCTCCGCGCGCTCGGTGTTCTCGGTGTGGCTGGCGCTGGTGTTGAATACTTCCGTGATGATCCCGAGTGTGAAGATGGGCGCGTGGACGTTGAAAGTGAAGTCCGTAGCATGGGTTTGGTCAGGGTTGGTGCCAACCTCGACGCTCTCAGGGCCGCTGTGGGGGGCGCTGATGCAGGCGTTGACGCTGGCTTCTCCTGGTGTGCAAGTCGGTAATGGAAACCACGATGTCGGTGGGTGGCAGGCAGGCCCCCTGCGCACGGCGTGCGCGAGACGGCTCTCTGCCGCGCGCCCAGCGTAGGGCGCTGCCCTCCGCGGGCTTCGCGGGTCGGTCTCGGCCAGCTCCATGGGCTGCCGGCGAGCCCGCAGCCGCTGCTCGGCCTCCGGCTCTCGGTCGCGAGGGCGGCGCTGGCGCTCCGGGTCTTGCCGCGCCTGTCGGCGTCTCGCGCTTGGTCGCGGGCACCTCGTGGGCGCCGCGCCTGGCCATCGCCCGCTCCGAGACCCCACGCCGCCGAGCGGCGAGCGGCTCCTCCTCCTCCTCCGCCTCCCTCCTCTCCTCCCCTCCTCCTCCTCCTCCTTACTCTCCTCCTCCTCTCTCTCTCCTCCCTCCCTCCTCCTCCTCCCCCCCCCTCCTCTCACTCCCACGTCCTACCTCCCTACCTCCTCCCTCCTCCTCCACACATCTCCTCCTCCTCCCGCCTCCCCCCTCCTCCATCCCCTCCCCTCTCCTATCCTCCTCACTCCTCCTCCTCCCCTCCTCCTCTTCCTCCGCCTCCTCCCTCCTCCCGTCCTCCTCCTCCTCCTCCTCCTCCTCCTCCTCCTCCTCCTCCTCCTCCTCCTCCTCCTCCTCCCAGTCCTGATTCCTCCTCTCCCCCCTCATCCTGGTTCACCCGGTGCTCCTGGCCACGGGAAGGGCAACATCAGCTGCGGGGGGCGGGGGGGGGCAATCTTTCCGGGAGCCAGCGTGGGAGGACCTCCACTTCGGGAGCCAGCGTGGTAGCCAGCGGTCAGGACCACAATCACTTCGGGAGCCAGCGGGTGCGAGGACCTTCACTTTGGGTGCCGTCTGCGACCGTCAGGGTGACACCACCTTGGAGTTCTTCCTGGGAGGCGAAATTCTGACTTTGCCCTGGTCCGAAATCGGGCTTAAGCAATCCAGCTTACGGAATCCCGCTCCATGTGGCTAAATCCAGCTTGATCCGTGGGCCAATCTGGCGCAACAGCCCCCCTTTTAACGGGGCTCAGTCCTCCTTAATCCTCCCGACGAAGACCTAGGTCGCCACTGGGGGGAGGGAGGTCCATTCACCACCCACCAAACCACCCCAACCCAACCCGAAGACCTCTATTTGCCATCCATTTCCAGTGTGGGTGGGCGGGCGGGGAACATTTGCAAAAAGGCATGGAACCCGTACCCCACCCAACCCGAAATTCGGGTCTTCGGGTTGGGTTGGGGTGGTCTGGTAGGTAGTCATCATCCACTGGGCCTGCCTAGGGATGAGGACGCGCGGGAACAGCTTCGCCTCTATATATCATTCCTGCTCCTCCAGTACCCGAGTGGACCTTTCGGTTTGATGATGGTGTTGTAACAGTCTTCCACAAGAAGCGGTCACATCCACGAGAGCGCTGGCACCGACGACGACGCCCACGACGACGACGACGACCAGGTTGACCAAGACGACGAGGACGAGGACGACGAGGACGACGACGACGACGAGGGCGGAGACGAGGGGGATGAGGACGACGACGACGACGAGGCCGATGACGAGGACGAGGGCGAGGACAAACAACGACGAGGACAGCGACGAGGGCGACGACGATGACGCCGACGACGACGATGCCGACAAGGACGACGACGACGACGACGACGACGACGACGACGACGACGACGACGATGAGGTCGACGACGGCGACGACAACCTCAATGGGCGGGTCGGATGAGCGGACACTCTGACCGTCACATGGTTACCCCAGGGGGGCGAATCACGATTATGTTCTTTATTTAGTCGCCACATGGCACGCAGAGATCCTGCTGACATTGGCACGTGGCCGTTCGTGATCGCAATATGGCCACGCATGACATTTACGTTGAGTCCCAGCGCGTCAGAAATCCTTCCAATAATTTGTGGTGGGATCGAATCCTGGACCCGCCGCATGGTTGGCTGGTTGTTCGGTCGGTTGGCTGGTTGCCTGGGTTGTTGGAGTAGTTGGCTGGGTGATTGGAGGTTGGCCGTTCCACTGGTCGAGCCTTTAGCTTGACATTCGGCTAGCTGGCAACGCCTGTGAGGTTCAACGACTGCGACGGGGAGGCGGACGCTAACCTTCATGTCGGGTAGGCGGGTCGGGCGGGCGTTCCTTGAAGGCCGGGTCAGGTAGGCGGATCCTAACTGGCGGGTCAGGCAGCGGACCCTAACGCGCGAGCGGGCGAGGCAACCGGAACATTCAAGTAGTGCGCAGTCCATTCAGCAGGACATCCACGAGGGCGAGGACGACGAGGACGACGATGATGATAACGAAGGGCGACGACGATGATGAGGACGACGATGACGACAGCGACGACGAATACAACGAGGACGACGACGACGACGACGCGACGAGTGGGATGAGGAGGAGGAGGACGACAACGACAAGAACAGCGACAACAAGGGCGACAACGACGACGACGAGGGCGACGACGACGACGACGGCGACCGTAACGGGCGGCGCAGGCGGGCGGACCCTCACTGGTGGTCGGGTGGGTCGGTCGGGCAGACTCTAGAGGGCGGGTCGGGCGAGCGGACCCTACCCAGCGGCCGGGCCGGGTGGGGTGGGACACTGAAGTGGTCTTTAGTAAGTTTCCAGAGAAATATCCGCAAGAGCGACGACGACGACGGCGACGAGGGCGACGAGGGCGAACACGACGCCGACGACGGCGAGGACGACGACGAGGACGACGACGAGGGCGACGACGACGCCGACGCCGACGGCGACGAGGAGGAAGACGACGACGACGAGGAGACGACGGCGATGACGACGACGAGGACGACGAGGACGAGGGCGACGACGGCTGCGATGATGACGCTGACGCCTGCGACGAGGACGTCGACGAAGAGGGCGACAACGACGACGGCCATGAGGGCGACGACTGTGATGACAACCCTCACGGGCGGGTCGGCTTGTCGGACCCTGCGGCCGGGTCGGACGGGCCGATTCTAAGGGGCTGGCGGTTGGGTTCGGGCGGGATCGTATAGTAGTATTGCGCAATCTTCCGTGGCGACGACGACGACAAGGGCGACGACAATGATGACGACCATCTTGCGAACATGTGGCATGACGAGTTTCTTCGACCTTCGCTTGTTTCCCCCTCGCCCTTGCACCCGCCCAGGGAGTCTGTGAACCGACCCCCTTCGAGGAGGGTGCTTTTCATACCGAGAAGCACTCGTCAGTACACCCTGTGGGCACGCTGCGCCGACGTGGCCGTCGTGTGAGCCAGCGCGCTCGCGGGCAGCCCACCAGTACAGAGCGATGTTTTTCTGAGTGTTGGGGGGGCCTCCCTCCTCTCTCCTCCTCCTCCCTTCTCCCTCATCCCTCCTCCCTCCTCCACCTCCTCCTCCCTCCTCCTCCTCCTCCTTCTCCTCCTCCTCCTCCTCCTCCTCCTCCTCCTCCTCCTCCTCCTCCTCCTCCTCCTCCTCCTCCTCCTCTCCAGGGCGTCTCGGCGTGAGCTGCGAGGAGGTGCCGAGCGGGAGCGCAAAGGTTCAGAGCCATCGGCGGTGACGAAGTCTCAGGCGCAACGCCCAGCCCTCCCACAGGTTCGTCGGCAGTGGTGCGGCGGCGAGGAGGGTTATTGAGGAAGGATTGAGGAGGAGGAGGAGGAGGAGGAGGAGGAGGAGGAGAAGGAGGGAGGGGGCCGGAGGGCGGAGGGCGAAGGGCGGTGGAAGGCAAATCCTCCCAGGCACCCCGCCACATCCAGGCGCCTCAACTCTGCCCCCGACTCCGGCCCCGCCCTGCGAGGGGGCGCCGCCGGAGGATCTAGACACCGGCGGCGTTGCGGCTGCAGAGGCGGGCCTCGGGGCGGCCCGGCCTCCTCTCCTCCTCCGCCTCCTCGCCCTCCTCTTCCTGTTCCTCCTCCTCCTCCTCCTCCTCCTCGTCCTCCTCCTCCTGCTCCTCCTCCTCCTCGTCCTCAGCCTCCTCCTGCTCCTGCTCCTCCTCCTCCTCCTCCTCCTCCTCATCCTCCTCCTCCTCCACCTCCTGCTACTGCTACTGCTCCTCCTTCTCCTCCTCCTCCTCCTCCTCCTCCTCCTCCTCCTCCTGCTGCTCCTGCTCCTGCTAATGCTTCCTCCTTTCTACCAGCTTTTTCCTCTGCCTTCTCCGCCTCATGCTGCTTCGGCATCTCCTCTTGCCTGACCCTCGCCTCCCCCCGCCGGAGCACCAGACATGTAGTCAGAGCGGGCCAGGCGTTTCGCCTGATACCCTCCGCAGCTCACGACTTCGAAGCCTGAAATCTCGAGCGGCCACACGCATGCAGCACAGGTCGTTCTCAGAATGGGCCCCCTCTGCGCTGTGGCACCGTGCACTCTGGGGCTTTCTGGCCTCTAACAGCTTGGTTTTGCGAATAGGAAAGATGTTGTACGGGGCTCTCGCCCTGGCGCCGCGCACATTCGTCGTCAAATCTCCCACGCGTGTCAAAGTTGGGTCTTCGCCTCCGGCTCCTGTCCACGGCGTACCTTTTCCTGTGCAAGCTCCTCGGCACCGCCTGCACCCCAGGCCCCGCCCTCTTGGCAGCCTCAGGCCCCGCCCGCCTTTGCCCTGTCTCCCCAATTCGAGCTGTGCGTAGCCCGCCCAGCTTTTAGCGGAAGAGGTTCGCTCTCGCCCCGCCGACCAAAAAGTGTTGCCCAGGACGAGGAGCGAGGAGGAGGAGGAGGAGGAGGAGGAGGAGGAGCGAAGAATGGGGCGCTCGCTCGATCCTCCATGTCTGCCCCGCCCGAAGCTCAGACACGCGCGGCAGAGCTGCCCGAATAAATGGTGGGCGGCTGCCTCTGAAGTCGGGGCTCTCGCCTGAGGCAGTGGATCCTGCACGGGGGATCCTGGACGAAACGGATGGCCAGTGGACCCTTTACAGGCGGACAGTGGGTCCTTCCAGAACCGTGGCCAGTGGATGCTTTCCTGGATTTCTTCTCTGGGGGCAGTGGATCCTTGACAGAACGGAGTCTCTCGCCTGAAGGGCCTGGATGGATGGAAGGCCCACTGGGCGTTCGTCTGCCACGGGAGGCGTTCTCCGCAATGGAGACGGAGTACGCGCAGGGATTTCCAGTGGAGACCCATGCCAAGAAGCACCCTGGTGTTATTGGGTTTCGATGGTTTTGCCATCGAAAGCGTGGCGCTCCCACACCAGAAATCAGTGTAAGTCCTGGGGTCTCGGGGTTGGGTTTCTTGTGGAAGGTTTCCTGTGGACTGGCCTCCACTGTATGAGGTGGGAACTTGGGGCCGAAATTTTGCTGCAGCACTGCAGCATCGTTGATGCCTCTTGGGTTTACTCTGGTCGTCCCCTTCCGGCCTAACTCTCCTCCTGGTGCTCCTCTTGGAGGGCGAGCGAGCTCGAAGCGGATTTCTAGACAACTCCAGACGATGCAGGGAGATTGCATTGGAGAGCGGGAGGAGGAGGAGGAGGAGGAGAAAGAGGAGGAGGAGGAGGAGGAGGAGGAGATGAGAAGAAGGAGGAAGTTCCAGGGTCCTGCAGGGAGATGCAGCGAGTGGCAGCATGTAGGCTCGGGCTATGGATCCTCTAATTCGTGACATGCGTTCCAGACTGAGAAAGCATTTCTGGGTCGGAGGTGGGGGTGGCGGTGCAAGAACTTAGAGCTCTGGTGCGCTTGTCGGGAGCGTTCTATGCAGCCAAGCTCCTAGCGGCACTCTCTTCTTTGAATATCCCAAAGTTCAGGCTCAGCCCAGTAGTTGGCCCTCTCTCTGAAGACTTCTGAAGACTGCTGAGTCCAGATGCAGTCAACGCTGAGTAGGTTGCTTCGTAGATGGGCTGAGATCCTAATCACGAGTGCCGCCAGATATCTTGGGGTGTGGACCGGCCCAGCAGCAGACCGAGAGCTCATGTAGTGCAGGGTCTTTTCGGGAATGGATGGGGGTGATCCAGGATACAGCTGCTACCAAGGCCGCCCGCTCGATAGCGATCACCTTGTACAATTCCAGAGCCGTCTCTAAATTCAGCTGCCTGGCTCAGTTGAGCCCACTGCCGTCGTCCATTCTCCGATGGGGATCGTGGGCCCTGCACAAGATCCTCCATATTCCTGCCTTCTCTGTCCTCCTCTCCCAGCTTCTTGCATTGCGCCAGTGGTCTCGCCTGCGACCCCAATCAATGCGTTCCAAACTGTTTCTGCTCTCCTCGGTGCCTCTTGCCATACTGCTTCGAACTGGAGGCCCTTGTGGGCTCGCCTCCGTCGGGCTGCCAGGAACACTTCCCACTCGCGACTTGGCTTAGGAATGGGTGGCCCCCCGCGCACTGGAAGGAGCCAGCATTCGTTCAGGAACTGGCCACAGCCGCTGCTGGCTTTCCAGAGTGTCCGGCTCGCATTCAGATCGCGAACGAGGGTCTCGTGGCGCTGCCATTTCAGATCGCGAACAAGGCTCTCGGTGAGGCGTTCGCTGCTGATCCCTCGGCCCCGGTGCAGCGGATAATCTCGCGAGCTTGCGAGACGGCGTTGTTCCAGGAGGATCGCGGGGCGCTGATTTCCAAGCGTGTGGCGAAGTGGACGGCCGAGCCGCCCACGCCTAAGGGTCTCGCGGGGTGCAGCTGGCCAGCATTTCGAGAGTGCCTGGAGACTCTTCCCCCCCCGCGCGGCAAGCCTCGGTCCTGAAAGCGTTGGTGGGCGAGCGGCCGACGGAGAGGAGGGCGTCTCAGACCGAGGTTGCGTGCAAGTTCGGCTGCTCGGGTGAGTTCGACTCCCGGAGACACGATTTGCCTCGCCCGTTGCTGTGCGCGGCCATCCACGAAGTCTGGGTTCCTTCTGTCCCGATGGAGTTATTTCTCGATCTCCGCTTGGATGTCGCTCGCCCGATGGCGGAGGCTCGGCGTCTGGCGGTGCAGCAATTGGTGGTCAGCTCTGATCTGTGTAACTCGATTCGGAGACAAGCGACGTTAGATCAGACTGTGACTGTGAAGCGTGCTAGAGGAGCCAGAGCGCAGCTCTTGCAGCAGCAGTGCGATCGAGAGTAAGCGACTACAAACTTTGTCCGAGCTGCGTGCGACGAGGAGGAGGAGGAGGAGGAGGAGGAGGAGGAGGAGGAGGAGGAGGAGGAGGAGGAGGGGGAGGGGGAGGAGGAGGAGGAGGAGGAAGGAGGAAGGAGGAGGAGGAGGAGGAGGAGGAGGAGGAGGAGGAGGAGGAGGAGGAGGAGGAGGAGGAGGGAGGAGGAGGAGGAGGAGGAGGAGGAGGAGGAGGAGGGAGGAGGAGGAGGAGGAGGAGGAGGAGGAGGAGGAGGAGGAGGAGGAGGAGGAGGAGGAGGAGGAGGAGGAGGAGGAGGAGGAGGAGGAGGGGGAGGAGGAGGAGGAGGAGGAGAGGAGGAGGAGGAGGAAGGAGGAAGAGAATTGGATTCGGTTTTTCGACAGCAAGGCTGGGCCTTCCAGCCACGAAGGTTAGAGGGTAGACTCTGCAACGCTCAGCGACACAGGGCTCCCCACCGACCAACATGCCAGAAAAGCCAACCCACAGAGAGCAACCGCGAAGACTCCCATCCCAACTCGAAGGTGGTCTTCTTCGCCAGCTCCAGTGCCTGTCGGCCCGGCTCTGCCTTCAACTTTGGAGGGGCGGCGCAGGCGGATTGAAAATCACACAGCACCCCGCCGGCCCCACGAGGGAGGGGAGGGGGGGAGGAGGGAGGAGGAGGGAGGAGGGAAGAGGAGGAGGGAGGAGGAGGGAGGGAGGAGGGAGGAGGAGGGAGGAGGGAGGAGGGCGGAGGAGGAGGAGGAGGAGGAGGGCGGAGGAAGAGGAGGAGGAGGAGGAGGAGGAGGAGGAGGAGGAGGAGGGACGGAGGCAGACACAGAGCAGGAGCAACGCGCTCGGCCCTCAGGGGGGAGCATCGCGCCCTACGCCGCTGCAGGCGCTACGCGGCCTCGCGCTCGCTGCACACGCGCGCACGCGCGCGCGTTGAAGCGCCGGGCCCTCGCGCCAGCCGGGCACCCTGGGACAGGACCGCCGTGGCCCTGGCCCTTGCCAGTGGACATGCAGTCAACTTGCATGGTAATCAGGCGATCGCAAGCCTGGATCAAGGGGGCGTGGATTAGCGACGGGGCCCGTTTCCACAGGAAATCGCGGACTTCCGCCGCCGAGCGAGGCGGCACTGGCCGCATTTTGGGGAGGGCGCCTCACCCGACCCGACGATTTGGCAGCCGCGCGCCAAGTCCATGGATCGCTAATCCGTGTCTGCGCGCCCCCGAGGTAAGGATGAGCAGGTTTCCCAAGGTTGCCCTCGTACCCTTCCCCCTCGTAGCCGCGCCCCGCCCGCAAAGTGTCGGCATGGCCTTCCGAGGCCCTTGCACCTTGATCGCGCATCCTCACTACACGGGTTGACTGCACCCTTGCCTCCGCCGCGGTCCTTGCTCCGGGCCGGACTGGCCTCGGCAGCGGCCGCCGCGGTGCACGGCTGGGAGGCTCCGCCGCCCGCCGCGCAGGCGCCCACCCGCGCCGCTCGCGGGCATTCTCGGCCAAAGGCAAGCCACGCATTGTGTGTTCCTCCTCCTCCTCCTCCTCCTCCTCCTCCTCCTCCTCCTCCTCCTCCTCCTCCTCCTCCTCCCCCCTCCTCTCTCCTTATCCTCCCCCTCCTCTCCCCTCCTCACCTCCTCCTCCCCTCTCTTCCTCCTCCTCTCCTCCTCCTCCTCCCCTTCCTCCTTCTCCTCATCCTTCCTCCTCCCTCCCCCCCCTCCGATACCTCCCTCCTCCCCCCCCCCCCCCCCCCCCCCCCCCCCCCCCCCCCCCTTTCATCTCCTCCTCCTTCCCTCCTCCTTCCTCCTCTCTCCTGCTCTCACCTCCCCCCCCCCCCTCCCCCCCCCCCACCCCCCCCCCCCCCCCCCCCCCCCCCACCCCCCCCCCCCCCCCCTCCCCCCCCACCCCCCCCCCCCCCCCCTCCCCCCCCTCCCCCCCCCCCCCCCACCCCCCCCCCCTCCCACCCCCCCCCCCCCCCACCCCCCCCCTATCCCCCCCTCCTCCCTCCTCCCCCTCCTCCTCCTCCTCCTCCTCCTCCTCCTCCTCCTCCTCCTCCTCCTCCTCCTGTTCGCTGCTCAAGAGGAGGTCCAGTTGAGACAATAGCAGTTCGGCCTTCGGGGCGCACCCTCGTCGCCACGGCTGGGTGCAGAGCGGACAGCCGGTGCTTTTAGTCCCTGGGAGCGGTCCGGGGACCGATGTTGGGCTGCCGTTGTCTCAATTCGCCCTGCTCCGTCTGACAATACGTTCGTGTCTTTGCGGGAGCTCCTGTCTAGGAAACGCTCGCTTCCGTCCGCGGTCTACGCCCTCTCGGCGCATGGCTTGCCCCCCAGTCCATGTTGGAGCCTCGGAGCTGCCGAGGATTCTTACCGACGCAGTTGCTGGGGCGCGGCTCTGGTTGTCGTGTTGCACGGTACACGGTACGCGTGCTTCCACGGGCGCCCCCGTCAGCTGAGTGTGGGCCAGCGACGTGGTGCGCAGTCCGCGCGCAGGAGTCGATGGTGTAATCTGTTTATCCCCCTCGTGGTCGCGCGTTGAGCCTGCACGGCGGTGCGAGGGAGAAGGAGGAGGAGGAGGAGGAGCCCGAGGAAGAAAGCGGAGGGGAAGGAGGAAGAGAAGGAGGAGGACGAGGAAAAATAGGAGGAGGAGTAGGAGGAAGAGAAGGAGGAGGAGGAGGAGGAGGAAGCGGAGGAGGAGGAAGCGGAGGAGGAGGAGGAAGAGGAGGAGGAGGAGGAAAAGTAGGAGGAGGAAAAGGAAGAGGAGGAGGAGGAGGAAAAGGAGAAGGAAGAGGAGGAGCCCGAGGAGGAGGAAGCGGAGGAGGAGGAAGCGGAGGAGGAAGGAGGAAGAGAATGAGGAGGAGGAGGAGGAGGAGGAAAAGTAGGAGGAGGAAAAGGAGGAGGAGGAGGAGGAGGAGGACCAGTGAAGACGGCCCGCCCTCCATCGTTGGAACTGGTAGAAAGTTCAAGCAGGATCATGATTGGCGAGGGAGTCTCAGGCGAAACGCGCGGCCCGCCCAACCGACACGCTTGGGGGTGCGACAGGAAGGAAGTATTTACAAGGTAGAAGGATGGTGGAGGAGGACGAGGAGGAGGAGGAGGAGGAGGAGGAGGAAAAGGAGGGAGAGGAGGAGAAGCAGGCGGAGGAGGAGGAGGATGGGCAGTAGAAGGAGGAGGACATGAAAGTGGAGGGGGAGGAGGAGGAGGAGGAGGAGGAGGAGGAGGAGGATGGATGGACAGCGCCTTGAAAGGTCGAGAGGTGACAGCACCAAAAGCATGGGGGGATCGACCCGAGTTAAACCGCCCCTGAGGCCCTTGCCTCTTCTTTAGCTTTAATTCTGGCAGCAAGAGCCGCCATACGCTGCTCGTACGAGGGGGCCGAGGGAGAGTCCGAAAACGCTCGCGGAACTGAGGTAGCACACAGCTCGGGGACCATAGTCAAGCCAATATTCATCAAAGATGCTGCAACATAATGTCTCGCCCCAAGTCGCCTGCTCAGAAGCGTCTACAAGTATTTATCTTCTCTACGGAGAGCGCACCCTTGAAAGACGCGCGCCTTCTGGTGGTATCGTATTGGCGGGAACCCATGTCTGAAAAAGAGCAGCCGTGCGTTATCCTTGTAAGCATTCGAGTGTCAATACGCTGGAGAATTGGTCAGGGCCGAGAGAGCCGAACGAGCGAGAGTGAATATGATGGTGCCAATAGTTCTGAACTTCAATCGGGTGTCGAGAAACAAACGGCCACTATGAAAGAAAGCTGGCCTCTATCCGTGCACCTCGCAAATGATGATGTTTCACAAGTATGAATGGTGGAAGACCTGATGCGAAAGTGCAGTTTTCAACAACACAAGCCGCCCTCCATCCGTCTGGCCGTGACATCTTTCTGTCAGGTGAGAGCGCGTTTTGAACAACGTCCCGCCTTCATTGGTGGAGCGGTTCCAAGTTCTAGAGGCGACTGCGCGCGGCGCTAAAGCGAGCGCGCACGAACCGACTTCCGTCTTTGTTATTCCTGAGAGTTTCGAACGCGAATGTGCGCGGCGCGGATGCGAGATCCCCAGCTTGAAAAGCATCTTTCACCCATTCGTGGAACGGTTGCGAATTCCAGGCTTTCACGGTCACGACGCGCAAGGTGTGCTCAAGCGGCGAGTTTGGTTGCGCGACGGGGAGGAGTTGTTTACCAGGTAGAGGGACGGGGTGGGAGGAGGGGAGGCGGGGGAGCAGAGGGAGAAGGCAAGGAATGTGGGCTTCTCTCTGACCCGAAGACTGATCACTAGCCGGCGCCAGTACCCTGAGCAAGAGTAGGAGCAGGCTAGTACGGCACGTTCGTTACAGGGCTCGACGAATGCGGGCAGTGCGACTACAGAGGGAGGGGCGCGAGGCGAGCAGATACCCATGGCTTGTCGATTATGAGGAAATGGGGTTTGTCCGAACAGTAAGACCGTTAAGAGGTAGTGCGGGAACGTTTTCCTTTCTCTTCTCTCCCTCCCCATCTCCTTCCTCCCCCCAGCCCTCCACGTTCACTTCCTTGTGCGGGCGACAGCGTCGACCCGGCTACCCATAGGATGGCCCAACATACTACTTGTTGCATCCTTTTCTCCTCATCCTCCCGCTCGCTATCCTTCCTCCGTCCTTCTTCCCTTACCTCATGCCCCTCCCCCTCACCGTCCTTTATTTCCTGATCCTCCCGCTTCTTCTCCCCCCATGTGGTACCCGGCGGAGGTATCAGCTCAAGAGGCGCCGGCTGATACTGACACTGCGGGGCTGACGTTCTTGTGAGTTCCGCTGTCAAAAGAAAAAGGTCCGACTGCCGACATGGTAGTATTCGACGTGCGCTCCCCACCAAGCAGCAACACTGGTAGCAGCAATCATGTCCAGGCCCCTTGCCCAAGTTCTGAGGTGGCCTTGTGTTTCAGCTCGTCATACTCGCTTCGACGCCGTTTGCTCGGGACGCGATTGTGGGAACCTCGATGCGCCCTGCGATGGAAGAAGCCATTAAAGCGTTTGATTTGCTCGTGTTTGTCGTTCAAAACATTTTATTTACTCTGAATTGCTGGATTCCTATACCGTTTCTGCCAAATTGGTTGGAGTGAAAAAAAGAGGGCGTCTTAATAAGGATGCGCGCGAGCTCTCCGACCAAACCGTTGCCGCGAAGGTCAGAAAGGCGCGAGGCATCATGCGAAGAGTGTGGAAAGCACATTTAGTGTGCATGGCCCATTTCGGCACACCCTTCACACGTTTCGTGGCCCCATAGGGAGCTCCACCTAAGGCCCCAGTGGCAGCGCCCGCATGCAGTTCCACCCTCCATTTTGGCACACCCCTCACGCTTCGTAGTCCCATAAGGAGCACCAGCAGCAGCGCCCGCATGCAGTTCCACCCCCATTTCGGTGCACCCCTCACACGCTTCGTGGCCCCATCAGGAGTCCCACCGCAGGCCCTAATGGCAACGCCCGCATGCGGTTCCACCCTCAATTCCGGTGCACCCTACACGTTTCGTGGCCCCATAGGGAGCTCCACACAAGGCCCCAGTGGCAGTGCCCGCATGCGATTCCACCCGCCATGTCGGTGCACCTCACACGCTTCGTGGCCCCACAGGGAGCTCCACCGCAGGCTCCAGTGGCAGCGCCCGCGTGCGGTTCCACCCGCCATTTCGGTGCACCCCTCACGCGCTTCATGGCCCCATGGGGAGCTCCACCCCCATTTCGGTGCACCCCTCACACCGTGCATGGCTCTATAGGGAGCTCCACCGAAGTGCCCAGTGTCAGCGCCCGCATGCAATTCCACCCTCTATTTCGGCACACCCTTCACATGCTCCGTGGCCCCAGGCAGCTGCGAGGGCCCCAGTGGCAGTGCCCGAATGCGGTTCCACCCTCCATGTAAGCGAATCTTTCTCACGTTTCGTGGGCCCATAGGTAGCTACAGCGAAGGCCCCAGCCCAGCGGCAGCGCCCACATGCGGTTCCACCCTCATTTCGGTGTGTCACTCACACGGTTCGTGGCCCCAATAGAGGGCTCCACCGCAGGCGCCAGAGGCAGTGCCCACGCGGTTCCACTTGCAATTTCTTTGAACTTCTCACACGCGTCGTGGTTCCATAGGGAGTTCCACCTAAGGCCCCAGTGGCAGCGCCCGCATGGTGGTCCCGCCACGTTTCGGCACACCCTTCACGCGCTTCGTGCCCCCGTAAGAAGATCTACCGACGGCAGTACTCACAACGACAGTGCCCACAATTGCACATGGTTTGGCCTTTCGCCAGGAGAATTCCCAACCATCCTATGGTGTTGGGTCCTTCTTTTGAAGAGACAGCCCCCCACGTCACCTCACTCCCGCTGCTCCTTCCCCCCGCCTTCCTCCTCCGATCCTTGCCTCTCTGCCCTCCGAACCAGTCAGCCATTTTGACACACAGCTCACACGTTTCGTGGCACACGCTTCGTGGCGCTATAGGGAAAATCGCCGAGGGCCCGAAGGCTAGCGTTCGCATGCGCCCACCGCACCCATTGTGGCACACCCCTCATACGTCTCGTGGCCCAATAGGGCGCCCCACAGCAAGGTCCAAATGCAAGCGTGCGCGGGCGCCCACCGCGCCCATTTTGGCACAACCTTCACACGCTTCGTGGTCCCATAGGGAGCGCCACCGATGGCCCGAAGGCCAGCGATCGCATGCGCCCACCGCACCCATTTCGGCACACCTCTCACATGCTTCGTGGCCCCATAGGAACCCCACCGAAATCCCAAACGCTACCGTTCGCATGCGCCCACAGCGCCCACTTTGGCATACCCCTCACACGTTTCGCTACCCCATAGGATGCCCAACCGAAGGCCCACATGCCAGCGTTCGCACGCGCCCACCGCACCCATTTGGGCACACTTTTCCCATGTTTCGTTGCCTAGGGAGTCCCACCGAAGGCTCAAATGCCAAGGTTCACACGCGCTCACCGCGCCCATTTTGGCACACCCTTCACACGCTTCGCGGCCTCATAGGGAGCCCCACCGACTGCGGTGCATACGACGGCTGTGCCCACAATTCCAAAGATATTCGTATTTTGAACATGTACCATTGCAAAATGTTGAGCCCCTGGTTCTTTTACCCATGGCGTTGCTATCCCGGACCCCTCCAAGAAACGATTCAATCCGCTTCAAAAAACATGGAATTGGACCGCATTCAATACGTAACATACGTATAATAAGCCCAGCTGCCGCTTTGTCAGAAAATAGTTGTCCGGGATTTGTTGCTGATGTCCACGGCTGCATATTAGGCAAGTTGGGCATATATGAGATTCGGATTGCTTGCACGGCTTGGAGCGCCATGTCTTGCACCACCTTGCAGCTCTTCACTAACAAAGGCAAAACCACGACGGGCCACAGGGCCTCCAGGATGGCCACGTTGGCTCAAGATGGCCCCCCTCTGATGGCCTCCAAGTCCGCCGAAGATGGCCAAAGATAACCCCAAGTTCGCTCAAGAAGCCTCCCAGACGCCTCCAAGACGGCCCAAGAGACCTCCAATAGGTCGAGGGCTCGAAGAGACCAAAATTATTGATTGTTTTTAGGTTTTTGAAGTATGTTGGAATGTGTTTCTTCTCGGCACTCCGACGGCCCAAGAGGCCCCTAACATGGCCCAAGAGCCCAGGGCCCCATGACGGCCCGAGAAATTTCCAAGCGGGCCCCAAGATGGCCTAAGGGGCCTGCAACACGCCCAAGATGGCCTCCAAGACGCCCAAGATGGCCTCCAAGACGGCCCCAAGTCGGCCCAGAAATGCCCCCAAGACAGCTCTCGACGGCGTCGGACATGCCAGGAACCCATCAAGATGGCCAAAATTAGCTCGAAGCTGGCCCACGGCCCAAGAGGCTTCCAAGAGAGCTAGGAAGGAGGCCCCAAATTTGCATGTTCTTTAGAAATCGAATGATTTTGACAGTTGTTTCTCCTTGGTTTTCCGACGATCCAAAATGGCCCAAGAGGCCGAAATGGCTGCAGAATGGCCTAACAGGGCCCCGAGAAATCCTAAAACGGCCCAATAGCTCCGACCCATAAGACACAGGGCGTAAAACCCCAAATCGGCTCATAGAGTCCAAACAGTTTCCGACGGCCTCAGACAGACCAGGAACCTACCAAACTTGGCAGAAGAATTTCCATGCTTGAAAACGAGTTTCCATACCTCCAGAATACGGGTTTCCTTAACTGCAAACACGGGTTTCCATAACTGCGAACACGGGGTTGTAAACACGGGTTCCCGTAATTATCAAATCGGGT